AAGATGTGAATTTGGTGTCAACATACCTTATATACAATCAGAGATATGATAAATTGTGGTATAAAGGTGTATTAAGAATTGTAATGCAAAAATAAATTAAATTTTTTAAAAGTCATCAAAAATAAAATGTCAGATATAGTAGGACTCCATTTTTAAAAAGTTGAGGTATTTATAATCTATCAATTATATATTTTTAATCTTTTTTACTGGATCTATACATAGAAAAATGTGCATATGCAAATCAACAAATGTTCAGAAAATAATTGCTAGATGTTAGAATTTTGAGGAATAAAAATGTTTCTTTGTTAAAAAAAGAAAGAATATATATATTTTTTTTTTCTAGAGCTGGTACACAAATTCAGCAAATTATCAGACTACAAATCAACAAACAAAAATTAACACCTCTTCCATACACCTATAATATAATAAATATGCTTAAAAAATCAGGAAAATAATTATATTCATAATAGTCTCAAAAAATAAATTTTTAAAAAACAAGGAATAAATCTAAACAAGGAAGTAAAAGACTTCCACAATGAAAATTACAGTATTATGAAGAAAAAAAATTGAAGAAGACATTAAATGATTGAAGGACTTCCCATTTTCTTGGATAGGGAGAATTAATATTATTAAAATAGCCATATTACCAAAAGAGATCTACAGATTCAATGTGATTACCCTCAAGATACCAATGACATTCTTCACAAAATGAGAAAATGCAGTCCTAAATTTCATATAGAAGAATAAAATGTCCAAAATAGCCAAAAAGCACTGCTGGGGGCATCGCTATACCCAATTTCAAATTACGCTACAGAACTACAGTAACAAAAACAGCCTGGGACTGGCATAAAAACAGATACGTAGTCCAGTGGAATCAAATAGAAGACCCAGAGACAAACCCACACAGGTAACAGTCAGCTGATCCTTGAAAACGATACAAAAACATGCTAAGTTGAAGGAAAGGAAATCTGTCTGCAAATGGTGCTGTGAAAACTGGATATCCTTATGCAGAAGAATAAAACTAGATCCCGATCTCAGCCTTCACAAAAGTCAACTCAAAGTGGATTAAAGATATAGAAATGAGACCCGAAACCTTGCAATGGCCAGAAGAAAATATATGGTCAACACTCTAATATGTTGGGTACAGGCAATGACTTCCTCACTAAGACTCCTAAAGCTTAGAAATTAAAACAAAGAATTAATAAATGGTATGGAGTCAAATTTAAAATCCACACAGAACTGAAATCTTTGGGAAGCCATCCGTGAACTAATAGGATGTTGAAGCCATTAGGCAGGAAGGGCTAGTGTCTGAAACTCCCAGCAGTAACCCTGCTGGTTTGAGAATGCCTGGTTCATGTGGCTTCCTACCCAGCTTCACCACAAGTTCAGCTCAGCATGGGACAGGGGGTGACCTGCTGGAGCCACACAGCCTCTCTGAGATAGGTGTGGCTTGCCAAAATGCCAATCAACCTGTTTACTGCAAGATCTCTGCCACACCAAGGAGCAAGCACCAAACCAAGACTACCAAGACTCCTCCTGCTGAGACTTTATCCCTCCCTTTGATGTACTCCCTTTTAAATAAATAATCGGAGCCTTTGTTCAGTTATTCAGTTCCAGCTCCTATTAGGACAGGAAAACCCATGAGACACTCCACTTTTTATATCTAATTTCTGGCTCTCTCTCTTTATCTTACTAATTATTTCAGAGTTTTGCTTCCCAGGTGGCTCACACCTCCTGAGCAGAAACTTACCCTGTTAGGGTGTAGGGCACCCCACAATAGGAAGCAGCTAATGGCATAAAGAGATAGCCTACAGATTGGGAGAAAAAAATTTGTCAGGATTAATATCCAGAAATATTAAACACTCAAAAATCTTAGCATCATAAAAACAAATATCCCAATAAATAAATGGAAAAATAAACTGAATAGATACTTTATAAAAGTAGAAATACAAATTGCCAACAAATACATGAAAAAAATGTTCAGCATTATTAGCAATCAGGGAAATGCAAATCAAAATTACACTGAGATTTCATCTTACTCCAGTTAGAATGGCAATCATCAAAAATAACAAAAGTTGGTGAGGATGCAGGAAAAAAAGGAACACTCACACTTTTGATGCAATTGCACATTAGTACAACCACTATGGAAATCAGTACAGAAGTTCCTCAAAAGATAAGGGAGAGGCTGAGGATATATCTAAGTTGGTAGAGCACAAGGCCCTGGGTTCAATCCCTAGCACCACCACACACACAAAAAAAAAAAAAGACAGGAAAGAACCACCATAAGATTGCATAAGCTAAGACCTAGCTAAACCACTCCTTAGTATTTATTCAAAAGAATTAAAGCCAGCAAACTATAGTGATATATGCATACCCATGTTCATAGCAGAATAATTCACAATGGCCAAGTTGTTATAAAACCAGTCTGTTCATGAATAGATGAATGGATAAAAAATGTGGTATAGATACACAATGGAATTTTATTCAATTATAAGGAGGAATTAAATTACATCATTTGCAGGAAAGTTGGATGGAACTACAGAATATCATTTGAAGTAGAAAAAAAGCCAGACTCAAAGAGTCAAGGGTCATATGTTTTGTCTCATATGAGGAAGCTAAAGAAAAAAGGGGAAAAAAACGATCTCATGAAAATTCAAGGGAGATCAGAAGTATAGTGAATGGGTTAAGGAGAGGAGGAGAGGACAAAAAGTGAAAATATGGGTGAGTGAATTAGACTAAATTATGCTATGTGAAGTTATAGATGTATCACAATGGAAACATTGTTAAGTATAATCACAATTTGCTAATAAAATTTTTAAAAGTAAAATAAAATTCTGCTCCAACTGTCATCTACCTGCTTCAACCTTGAGTAAATATTGAGAAGTCATCAGATGCCTAGGACCTAAGAGAATGACTTGTACTTCAAAATCTGAATCTTTACTTTTCTATAACTCATATTTTCTGATTATGAATTTCAACTTTAGGATGTTAGCTTAACCCACAGAATTATTCCAATATTAATTATTTTCCATCTTCAAATTCTAATTATCATAATAAGGAAAAGAGAAAGGTAGGAAGGGGAATATTACTTAAAACAATAGAGTATATCACAACATAGTAGTTTTGTAGCAGTGGAATAGTTGGAGAGTATTGGTTAGGGTGGTGATTCTAAAGGCAGGTGATTATAACCAAGACTCAGTGATGGGAAGGATGAAAGATATATAGGTGGTTTAAAAATGAATAAAGGAGGCATCCTTGGAAGGTTGCCTATGGACAAATGAAGCACAATCACACTGGACAACACCAGGAGGCAGTGTTTCGCATGCTTTAGAAAAACCCAATTGAGGAATTAGAAAATAGGGCGTGAGAGCTAGGGATATAGCTTAGGGCTAAGTGGTTGTCTGGCATGCATGAGGCCCTGGGTTCAATCCCCAGCATGGAAGAAGAGAAGAGAAGAGAAGAGAAGAGAAGAGAAGAGAAGAGAAGAGAAGAGAAGAGAAGAGAAGAGAAGAGAAGGGGAGATGGGGATATGCACTTTCTAATTCCCATCATCTTCACTGAATGCCTGTCCCTGGGGCATTATCTGTGGGTCTAATCATTCTGCCCAAGCACAGAACACCAGAAATCCTTCAGGTAGAGAGTTATAAAGGTTATAAAGTAGGAAACCAGAGGAATGTAATAGAAAAATAGGTGCCAAAGAAATAGCACAAGCATCCATCATATCATGAAGATAACTTGTAAAATACAGTGTAATGAATGTAGTGGAAAAGAATGAGAAATTGCAAGAGTATAGACCCATATCATTAATGTAAATAGAAACACCAGCAGAACAAAACCATACGACACATGTCACACTCACACACATGCATAGACAAAGTACAGACACACTTCTTCTCGTGGTGCCAGTGCCTTCCAATGGAGAGGTAAAAGGAGGTGAGGATGAGAGAACTTTTTAAAAAATGAAAATAAAGATCTCAGGAATGGGTGAAGACAGTAAGCTTCCACCTTCTTCTACCCCCTGTAGGTTACTGGAACAGCTTTCCCTGTGTCCTTTCCAAGCTTTGAACTTCCACTTCACACTCAGGAAGCCTGGCTCAAGCTCCCAGAGATCAGGAACTATGTGGAACACAAAGGTCCCTCACAGCCTGAGGCATGTGAACCATCAGATAATATAAATCCCCACCCCTCCTCAGGAAAACATGGAAGGAGAGGTCCACTGGGGCACCAGGGAGCCCTGCAACTACATTTCCCAGAGATCCTTGCGTGGACTCTAACCAGACTCTGGGGGTGGGACAATTTGGTAACCAATGAGAGCACTTCCTCTGCAGACCTAGGAAGAGGCAGACTGCACACAGCCTGGTTCCTGGTCTCAGGCTCTGGTAACCTGGTGAGTGGAGCTCCCCACTGACCTGCAGTGGGCTTTGAAACTGGGGTTTCCTCTGGTCTCAAAGGGAGTGCAGGAGCCTAGATTCTACTCTGCCCTCAATTCCAAGTTCTAAGTTGTTCAGAGAGTTGGGTGGCCCCTGCTTGGAGCTAATGCTGTAAATGCTATGCAGCATGATGATGAATCTAACAGACTCTCAGTTCACACCACCTGGGTGACAGGCGCAGCCACAGCACATTCTAGCAGAGAGAACTTGAACAACTCTTTTAGTGTCTCTGAAGCTCCCTTTCCCATAGTAACTTGGAGCTAATAATGGTACTTACTTAAAGTTTGTCATGCAGACTCAGTCGTTGTATTAAAAGGTAGCAGCATTTAAGGGAAATTCCTCAACTGAATTTCTCTCTTGGAAACCTTGGACAGTACTGTACACTGTCCTCTGTCCTCAACTGGGTGTGTCCCAAGATGTCCAGTTAATCCTGCAGGGAGCAGACTCAACAATCCTGCTCCTTTTGCCTGAGCTGATCAGAAACCCCCAATGGTCCCCAATGTCCTGCGTGTCTGGATTTTCTTATCTGCAGTGTCTAGAGAAATTCCTGGGGGAATGTTTACCATGCTGGAAGGAGGCTTAGTGGGGAGGGTCTTGAGGAGCTATAAGGGATGAAAAGTCAACTGCTTCACTGTTCCTGAGAGTAGGGCGTCCCCTTGAACACTGACTACAAATGACACAGGAGCAAGGAACCTCCCTAGGCAAGGCTGTTCAGGAGCCGGGGACTCTGTGCTCTGGACTCTGCTCTGTCCTCTGGCAGGATGCCCACAGGACAATCCTCTCCCTGGCTCTTTCCTGATAAACTGCTCTCACCCTTTCCTGTCCCCGCCCCTCCTACTGCCTTAGACACAGAACAGCTGGGCACACCCTGTCCCTCAAAAGGAGCTTTCTGGCTGTCAGCTCTCTAGCTGCCCCTGTCCAGAGACTTATTTCTTGGCCTCACTATCTTCAGCTCTAGCCACTATTGCTCTTCAGGTTTGATTCCTGCCTTCAATTGTACCCTGTACCCACTTCTTAACCACTGAAGGCATTCCCAGGGAGCTATGGCTGAGACACAGTTCTTTTGCAACCAAGGACTGTTGAATAATAGTCTTTATTTTTTTAATATTTATTTTTTAGTTTTAGGTGGACACAATATCTTTATTTTATTTTTATGTGGTGCTGAGAATCGAATCCAATGCCTCACGCATGCTAGGCAAGCGTGCTACCACTTGAGCCACATCCCCAGCCCCGAATAATAGTCTTTAGCTGTGGCCAGCCTAGCAAGTCCTTTTCCATACAGATAGTCAGCAGGTTGGCTGGGGTATAGTGTCAAAAGCATGGGATGCTGAGCACTTCACTGTAGTAGAAACTGAAGAAGAGATAAAAAGAAATAGAAATAGTATCTATACAAAAATAAAAGCAGTTCATTAGCTTTCCTTGGAAATCTTCTATGTAATATTGCTAGTAACCTATGCAGTAGGTGTAGAAGTTTCTACCACAATCCCCAACAGGGTTTGTGCTGCTTGTAGCTTGAAGATATAACAGCAGCATCTCATGCACAGCCTCCCTCTGGATCAGTCTGCCTTTTGCCGGGGGGTATTACTAGAGATTGAACTCAGGGGCACTCGATCACTGAGCCACATCCCAGCACTTTATTGTGTTTTATTTAGAAACAGGATTTCACTAAGTTGCTTAGGGCTATTGCTGAGGCTAGCTTTGAACTCAAGATCCTCCTGCCTCAGCCTCCCAATCCCACTGGGAATATAGGCGTGTGCCCAGCTTCAGTCTGCTTTTAATTCTTCTAGGTTGGGATCTTGCTCACAACTCTACTGGGGGAGAAGATAAGGGTTTAACAAAAAAGTTGAAAATCACATGAAGGATGCAGAGATCCCAAAGACCTGGAATCTAATAGGTTCTGCCTGTCAACCCACTCTCCTGAGGAATATCCCACATGGTGATCTGTCATTGAAACACCATGTTTTAGAGATAAATTACCACAGTTAATCCAACTGTTGCATGTTGACCATTGGACAAAACAATATTCATGTGATCTGCAGAAAAAAATGCAAGCCCTTTTCATGGCATCCTAGCCCTCTAGAAGTCACCTCATTGTGGGTATCTTTCACACAGCTCTCCAAAGTGACCACACTGGTGACTTTGGTCAGATTCCCAAAATTCAGACATAGGGACAAGGGTCCATGTGCAAGTGACTTAAGGAAGTCCTGGAGAAACCCTGCAGTGTCGGGATGTAAATTATAACTCAAAGTGTGTTGCGACCTCAGCAAGGCAGCTGGGCGTTCAGATCATGGACCCTGGGCTGCACGGGCCGGATGTCAATTCCTGGCATGGCTAGCTCCAAGCTAATGAGGGAAGAAGCTCCAGCAGTCCTGCAAAGAGAATCCAGGGTGCAGGTTCTTAAGGATAATGGCACAAGCCGCAGGGGCACCATGATATAGTGAGAGAAATCTAAAGAATCTAGGTGACTTGTAGACAGCATTGTCCCCACAGTGACTCAGTCCTGGGTCCTCCCCACCCATGTGTCCTCTCTAGGTGCACGGACATTCTCTGTTCTTTACACTTCTGTGCTGACGATGGAGACCAGTGATCCAGTGGACTCATGTGAACCGTGGGTTTTTCTTTTTTTAATGTTTTAAATTATTTTAGCACTCTCCAGTTCTCTCCTGGCTCTATCCCTCCCTGTTTTATTCACCTACATGCTTTCTGCCTCATTATTTTAGTCAGCTTTTTCACTGCTATGACTTAAAGCTCCAATCCGAACAACTGAAGGGAAGAAAAGTTTATTTGGGGGCTCACAGTTCCAGAAGTCCTGGTCCATAGGCAGCCAGCTTCATTTCTTTGGGCTTGAGATGAGTACATCATGGTGGGAGAGAGTGGCTGAGGGAAGCAGCTCACATGATGATCAGGAAGGAGAGAGAGAAAGAGAGAGAGAGAGAGAGAGAGAGAGAGAGAGAGAGAGGCCCCTAACAAAAATTTGAATATGTACCCCAAAGGCACACCCCCAATGCCCAGCTCTTGCAGCCATACCCTATCCATCTTCAGCTACCACTCAGTTAATCCCATCAGGACTGATTCACGGATTGTGTTAAGGCTCTCATAACCCAATCATTTCTTCTTTAAACCTTTGGGCATTGTCTCATACATGAGCTTTTGTCTGAGACTGCACATCCAAACCATAACACTCACCTTTCAGTAATTTCACCAGAATATGATTGTTTACAGAATTTTAATCAGGTAACCACTGGCCTGGGTGACTCCAGTGCTTTACATTCCCAAGTAAACAATAGAAGAAAACCAGAAACTTTAACAATCAGAAGCCGCCAACTAACCCGTACCTAAGAATTTTCCGCTTTATCTAATGAAATATGGTTTTTGTGCTCTTTGTGGGAACATCCTGTAGAAGTGTCTCTCTTGCCCTGTCTTCCTCCTTCGCCGGGGACGTTGAGTGCTTGTGATCTGGTGCTCCCTGATTGATGTAGTTCTGTCTGTTCCAATAAACTCGAAATTTCAATGTCCCTAAGTTTATCGTGTAAGAGTTCCAGAGTTGACAGTGCTGGATCAGAGCTTCCTAGTTCTGGTCTTTCTCAGTCTTCAGATTTAATCTTTCTTGCTTCTATTTTTGGATAAGCTGAAATGGCTTCTTCAATAGCCGTAATGCTCATCACTTTTCTCCCCTTCGTTTGCTATTAAAAGGAGCCAGTGCTCACATCAGTCCTTTGTTGTGGCCGACTTCTTAGTTTTTCTTTTGGTTTACTTCGTTCTGGCCAGTGAGGAGGAAAGACTTCCTCAGGATAGCTCACACTGCTTGCCTTTGTCAAGTTCTTCCACATTTCAAATCATCATCGGATGCAATTGCCCTTATGATTCAGTAAAATCCTAACACAAAGCCCAGGTCAGGATCATACTCTCTTCCGATGCTTTGTAGACATGGTTCTAGGACTGCACCTTTGGATATTTCCGGGGAACATTCTGTTGCCAGCCTGATTATTTCTTCCATATGAAGTTCGTTCTCTGACAGATGCTTGAGTAGTTCTTTTAAATTATGAATTTCAAAAATTTAAGCAGATTATGTGTCGATGTCAAGTACATAGAATCAATAGTTTCCAAGACTCTTGTCTCTTGTTTTTCAAATTTGATTTCTTTTTCCTTTCTGGAAAAATATTTCTTTATATATATCTATCTTGTATATATTTTCTATTATACTTTTCATATTCTTCGCTTCGGAAGCATGATGTGCTTTTCTTTCCTTTCTGTATTGATTAGTTTTCCTTTTAATGTTGGAATAGCATTATCTTTTCATTAGTCTTTATATGAATATCAAGTTTTTTTCCACATAACTAATTATGGTGCATCTAAATAGTTCTTCACGCTTATGTCGAAGTGTAAGCTCTATTTATGTTAAATTAATTAATTTTAATTAATCTTAATTTGTTTTCTAAGTTCTCAAATCTTTCTTTTCACAAACCATATTATTTCATCATCTTGTTTTTTAGTATTTATTACTAAGTCATTTTACATCCTCTATACTGCCAAGTTCCTGAAAAGAACTTCTATCTATTCAGTTTATATTTCTTCTTCCATTTCTTGTCTTTTGGTCACGCAATTTTTGCAGGTCATATCTTTTCTTCTAACACATCTCACAGTCTATTTTCATTTGTTTTGTCTTTCCATTCATGAATAAATGGCTCTGTCTTCATCGTTACTTTTTTCCTTGAGTCTAGTGTTGTAGGTGAGGTGTCCATCTAGTGCTGGGCTTGGACTCCTGTCATTTCAGAGGAGGTGCAGAAAGATGACTATGACAAGAGACTCTTTGTGGCATATTTTCCACATATAAGTGCCCCTCTTTCTTTCTGTGGACTCCTTACATTAAGGGCATTACTTTGTTTTTCTACCCTTGTGTCCCCAGTTATAGTTGTCACCTAAGGAAGACCAGGTGCTACCACTGTATACTGGCCTTCGGTGTTTATCTTAGTAGTAATCGGGGACATGGACCCTAGTTCACTGTGTCTGCTGCTCCCTTGGCAATTAATCACGTGGTTGGTGGCTCCTGGGTCCCCTCCTGGTGAGTTCCAGAGCCTCCAAGCTTTAACCTCATCAGGGTTCTTTCCATCTTCTGTGATCAGCCTTCCTGTACCCTTCTTGTGCAACTCAGAGGCTTCCTTTACTGTGCAGTACACTCCCTGTGACGTTCAGGGATTCTTCACAATTTATGGTCCACAAAACTACCCTTTGTTTTCAAGAAGAATCATGTTATACATTTTTTGCAGCCACATTTCCTATCATTTCTAGAGTTTGTTCCAGGAAGAGGAAACATTCTAAGGCTTCTGAATTACAACTTTTTAAAATCAACTTATGTTCAACTTACGGAATGCGGTTAAAAAGTACCTTTTTAAGAGTTCCCAAGGGCTCCCTATCTAGACGGGCACACTGCCTGCTCCTGTGTTGTCTTCTCCTCTAGTGATCAAGGTGAAAAAAGGGGGTCTGTTACTGCACAGAGATGCTGCCAATGAACATGCAGAACTAGTAGTTTTGAGGAGCTCTTTCCCTGGCCACAGCTTCCCAGGTGTTTGCAGTATCACACCTTGCACCACAGCTTTAGTATAGACGACTGCTTATGTTAATCACAGAATACACAGTCAAATGTGGTTGCATGTCACCAGTACTAAGGCCCCTAACAAACATTTGAAAACAAATTGTAGAATTACAGAGAAAAAAAGGACAATGCATATGCATCAGTCCCGTGGCCAGTCACCGGTAAACCACCTACTCCTCTTAGGTGAGCTTTCTCCTCTCTTCCTTGTATTCAGTACAGACTGGCTAAGGAGGCCAAGAGGGACTGGGGTGGGCTGAGTAAATGTCTCTTATGGCCGAGCCTCAGTGTTACAGGCTGACCTTGTCCAAGTGTTGAGAAAGGGCACTGGTGCGAGTTGGGGTGAAAAGAAGTGCAGTGACTCTACTAGCTTGAGGGGAAATGTGGCAAACGGCAGGACCACCTCCCCTGCTCACTCTCTAGAATCCCTACCGTCTCACTGAGGATTTCTTAAACACATTCTTTGTCATTGAGATCCTCCTGTGTGCTTACTATTTCTACTTATGGCTTTAGTTTTCCCTAGGGCGCTTACCACACTCCTGTAAATTACATGATTTATTCACTTACTCAGTTCACTATCTGTATCATTCTAATTCCCACTGAAATGTAAGATTTTAGAGGGCAGGAAGTACACTTTTATTTATATATTTATTTAGTTAATTTTTGTGCTAGAGATTGGCCCCACAGCCTCTCTACCAACAAGATGTATCTCCAGCCCAGTAAAATATTCGTTGAGCTAATCCATCAATCAGTGAGTGAATCAACATAAATCTTTGAGTACAGAACTTATATAAGATTCTGCTAAAGGGAAATTTGAGTGGGTCAAGTTCCAGGAGTACCATTAACTCTACTGTAGAATTCTCCCATTTGAATCCAGAACCATTTAGAAGCCTATCTTAATGGAAACCAATTGGAACTCAGGGTTTTTCATCACTAAGAATACCACATCTAAACTGGTTATCATTTGACTCATCATTTAATCTGGATTTCTAGTTTCTAATACTTGAAAGATGGAGGAAATGATCAGACTTTCCTGCTAAGGGTCCCTGGAACTTTAGTGAACTATGAGTTTATATCGCTTCCTCCAATCAAAGCAAAAACTTGTTACAAATATTTGCAAGCATTATTTGTACCTACATATTTTAAAACACATTCTAGCTAAAGTTAGGCTGCTCTTGGAAATCCAAGTGCAAAAGTAGCATAATTTGTTTTTTGTTTTGTTTTTATTTTCCTCACTTTAGGGACCATGGACATTGAAGCATATTTTGAAAGAATTGGCTATAAGAATTCTAGGAACAAATTGGACTTGGAAACATTAACTGACATTCTTCAGCACCAGATCCGAGCTATCCCCTTTGAGAACCTTAATATTCACTGTGGGGAATCTATGGAGTTGGACTTAGAGACCATTTTTGATCAAGTTGTGAGGAGGAAGCGGGGTGGGTGGTGCCTCCAGGTCAATCATCTTCTTTACTGGGCTCTGACCACGATGGGTTTTCAGACCACTATGTTGGGAGGATACGTTTACAACACTCCGGCCAACAAATACAGCAATGGTATGATTCACCTTCTACTACAAGTGACCATCAGTGGCAAGAACTATATTGCCGATGCTGGGTTTGGACGCTCCTACCAGATGTGGCAGCCTCTGGAATTAATTTCTGGGAAGGATCAGCCTCAGGTGCCATGCATCTTCCGCTTGACAGAGGAGGAAGGCACCTGGTACCTGGACCAGATCAGAAGAGAGCAGCACATTCCAAACCAAGAATTTCTCAATTCCGACCTCCTAGAGATGAATAAATACCGAAAAATCTACTCCTTTACTCTTGAACCTCGAACAATTGAAGATTTTGAGTCTATGAATACATTCCTTCAGACATCCCCAGCCTCTGTGTTTACAAGCAAATCATTTTGTTCCTTGCAGACCCCAGAAGGGGTTCACTGTTTAGTGGGCTTCACCCTCACCTATAGGAGATTCACCTATAAGGACGGTGTCGACCTGGTAGAGTTTAAGACTCTGAAAGAGGAAGAAGTGGAAGAAGTATTGAGAACTATATTTCATATTTCTCTAGAGAGAAAACTAGTGCCCAAACATGGTGATCGATATTTTACTATTTAGGAGAAGCAGCAAGTATGGTCTTTAATAACACATCCTTACACTTTTTACTATATAAAATTTCAAATCTATTCAAGATTATAGAGAATAAAATAATCAACCTGCTTATTGATTTCTCAGATTACCAACAATGAACTGATGACCTATCATAACCTTTGAGCCCCCACATTATTTTGAAGAAAACCCTACACATCATTTTATTTCACCCATAACAATGTCATCATGTATAACTAAATGGCTTTTTTTTTTCAGGAACATAACCACCCTCCTTTCAAAATTAATACTAATAAAAGCATTTTAATAATGATGTTGTTTTCTTAGAACCCAGCCCGACTTATGCTGGAAAGTGTTTCAACACCGGTTTATTGTTGAAGTCACAGAAAATTTATACTGGTAGTAAAGAGAAGAGTGAAAAAATAATTGCCATTAAATTCAGCTAGCATACATACATTACCCAACTTTTATAAAACATCCAGATTTATGATTCGGGATTGGAATGTAACAGAGAAGGAAGAGCTATAATATTGGTTTTGAATAGCCTACTAATCCTTAAGATGAGACTTCACCCAATCCACAGGAGTATGTGGCCATCAGTGGCAAGAACTATATTGCTGATGCTGGGTACCAACAGGGCCATTCAGCTAGTGATTTCTTCCAGGGGTCTTTACAGAGCTTCAGTTGTTGATATACTCCTTTTCTTAATATGGGAATACTGATATTTAGAATTTCCAACTTCTAGTATTAAATAGTTTGTATTTAAAATGTTTATTATGAATGATGAGTTACATATTTTCTAGACAAACCTTTTTAGTGAGGTAATGTTAAAGCATCATTGGCTAAAATAATGTGAATGAAAGGTTCCATTTGGAGGTGTTAGGATATTAGAGGGCGACACGGTTCTTCTGCAAGAGAGTCTTCCTCTCATCCTATTTCTTATTTTCTAATTATATTCTTTTACCTCCTTCCACACTTTGCCTTAAAAGGAAAACACATGAGGTACTTTATGTATATTTAAGTTCCAAAGGCTATGGACACTGGGCAAATTACTTACTGAATTACTGAGTGATTCTGTGGCTGTGGTTCCTCAGAGGTAAAATAAGTATTGAACATACATGATACGGGGTCTAATCTAGGTCGATCTCTAAATAAATGTTTGTTATATGGATGACTGAATAATGTCAGTAGGTCATTATGTTTTGGGTGGTAGGTGAGCATTTGGTGGGCGTTCTTTGGCCATCTCATTTATTGTACTACACAATCGATCGTCCCTTCTATCATTCATTGTTTCCCTCCAGTTGAACTCCTGGTCCTACTGTCATCTGCCTGTTTCATCTTTGATAACATTATTACCAGGACATCAGATGCCCAGATTTTCTGTTTGTGGGTTGTTGTGTCAGGGCTATAGGTTAAAATACAGACTTTGTTCTTAAATTATTCTCCTTATTCAACTTGGGATCATCATAATAAGGTGAAGGGGAAGCAGGAACTGGAGCGTTGGAGAAGAGGACCGGTTATGTGTGTTTTATGCAGCCTCGTAACAGCTGGGAGACACTGGTGAGGCAGACACCCAGGGAGAAGTGGATATGAGCCTGAGTGGGACCAGAGGATGAGAATTGTTTCAGTATGTGAGTTTGCTACCTTCCTTCACCTATTGGCCTTGTTTGGCTCTTTTGGCAACACCAGGGCACTTCTGGTACTCTTAAAACAAAGAAGGTTTTCTTATCCTTTGGCTAGAACTGTGTCCCTGGCAAGACTCACCAAACAGATCAAATGAGGCTCCTGGACAATGATGCAGTTTGTAACAATGGGTTGAGGAAGTTGTTTTCTGTGAGTATCCTGAACAAATCCAATTATTTTTGTTTTTTGGTACTAGTGATTTAACCCAGGGGCAATTTACCACTGAGCTATATCCCATCCCTCTTTTTGTTTAATTTTTTTATTTTGGGACAGGTTCTGACCAAGTTGCTTAGGGTCTCACTAAATTGCTGAGTGTGGTCTCGAACTTGCAATCCTCCTGCCTCAGCCTCCTGAGTTGCTGAGATTTCAAGCATGTGCCACCACATCCCACTGCAATTGATTCTTTCTTGAATATGTCTACCATGGAGGGAGGGGGGAAGGCCAAAATACACTGGAAGAGACACAGAGACATAAAATCCATCATGACCCCCACCTTCATGGCCCTCACCTCATGATCTCATGTAACCCTAATTACCTTCCCCCAAACCCCACTTGCAAATACCATTAATGTGCATTTGGGGATTCAGTTCCCAACACATGAACTTTCAGAGAACACATTAAAACCATCGCAGATTCTGAACAGTCAAAGTCATCTCAGCAAAAAAAGAAAACACTGGAGGCATCTCCATATTTTGAAATACAATATGAAACTAAAGTAATAAAGATAGCATGCTACCACATGAAACCTGACACCTAGACCAAAGAACCAGGATAGAGAGCCCTGGATAGCACGCATTTATCTTAGTTGTTTTTGACAAAAATCACCAAGAACTTAAAATAGGGACTGTCTCTTCACTACACGCTGTTGAAAAAAAAAAAAAACGGGATACCCACATGCAGAGAACAAAATGTACAGTTACCTCGTTCTGATTTTAGAATAAACCCCAAATAGATTAAAGACTTAAACATAATGCCTGAAACTGTAAGTCTACTGGAAGAGACGTGGTGGGGATGCTCTGTGACATTGGCCTGGGTGATCACGTCTTGACTAGGACCCCCAAATCAGGCAACACAAGCAAAAATAGACAAATAGAATTGCATCAAACTAAAAAGCTTCTGTACAGCAAGAGAAGCAATCAACCGTGCAAAGAGATGGTACCCAGATTGGGAGAAAATATTGACAAATCATATATCAGAGAAGGGGCTAATATCCAAAATACCTAAGGAACTCAAACTCTTCAGTAGCAATAAAATCAGTATTCCTATATAACAAGGACAAATGACCTGAACTGACATTTCTCAAAAGAAGACATGCAAATGACCAACAGATACACTTAAAAATTCTCCATAGTTCTAATATCAGAGAAATGCAAATTGAAACAAAAATGAAATATGACTTCATACTTGTCAGGTTGGTTGTTATTTAAAAAATTTTAAAAATAAGTGTTGACCACATATGGAAAGAAAAGAACTGTTGAATATTGTTGAATGTATTATAAATTAATATAGACACTTTGGGAAATGGTATGGAAGTGCCTCAAATAACTAAAAACTGAATTATCACAGGATTCAGCAATCGTACTTCTGAGTATATATCCAAAGAAATTGAAATTTGTATGCTATAGAGATGTCTGTGTGTCAATATTTGTTATAGCATTATTAACAAAAGCCAAGACAGGGAAACAAAACCAAAGTTCCCATTAATGTACAAATGGATTTTTCAAATTTAGAATGTATTCATAATGGAAACTATTCATCCTTTGAAAAGCAGAAAATTCTGTCATTTGCAGCAACATAGATGAATCTGACGGACATTATACTAAATGAAGTAAGCTAGACAGAGAGACAGATATCTTATGATCTCACTTAACCTGTGCAATCTAAAAAAGTCAAACTGCGGAATAGAGAGTATGGTGGTGGTTACCATAGGCTAGGAGTGTGGATAGACAGGGAAAGGGAAGACATTGTCCAAAGTTTCAGATAAGAAAAATAAGCTCTGGAGATTTATTGCACAGCATGATGGCTACAGGTAATAATAATAATGTGTATTTCTAAATAGCTAAGAGAGTATTTTAAGTGTTCTCACCAACAAAAAATGATAACTATTTGAGGTGATGGATGTGTTAATTAGCCTAATTTTATCATTTCACAGTGTCTGCATATAATGCAACAACACAACTTACCCCCTATATTTATGGGGTAGCTGGGAGTGGTAGTGCACATCTGTAATCACAGTGGTTTGGAGACTGAAGCAGAAGGATCTGGAGTTCAAAGCCAGCTTCAGCAACTTAGTGAGGCTCTAAGAAATTTAGCAAGACTTTGTCTCTAAATAAAATATTGAAAAGGGTTGGGGATGTGGCTCAGTAGTTAAGTGCCCCTGGGTTCAATCCCTGATACTAAAATACATATGTATGTATATATATATATCTCCACACATATTATCATTTCAAAACAAAATTAAAAATTAAAAATCTTAATGAGTTGCTACTAATGCTTAACATATTGCCTTGAACCTTAGAAGTTTAAAACTGCTCTTTTTTTTCCTTTTTTTCTTTCTTTTTTTATGCTCAGACTCTTTGAGTCTAGAATTTAAAGAATGCAAGAGAGCTTTTTTCTGTTCTATAATGTCCAGGCAAAGCGGAGACTCCCATGGCTAGTGGTGGGGTGCTCTGTGCTAGAATCATTCAGCAGCACCTTCACTGACTGAGGGCCCCAAATGGGGCCAGGATGGGGTACTCACAATTGCTTCCCTGTGGTCTGGGCTCCCGTGTTAACACGATGAATCGGGTTTCTGTTTCTGAGTCCTGCCACTTGTAAGGTGGAAACCAAATCATCTTTTTGTTTTCAACTTATTTGAGATGAAATTTACATTACACAAAACTAGATATTTTAAGTGCTCAATCTATTGGTATTGAGAACAATCCCAGTATTATGCAATTACTACCTCTGTATCATCTCAAAACATTTTGATCACCCCAAATTAAAATCCGTTGCCCAGAGGCTGGGGATGTGGCTCAAGCGGTAGCGCGCTCGCCTGGCATGCGTGCAGCCCGGGTTCGATCCTCAGCACCACATACCAACAAAGATGCTATGTCCGCCGAGAACTAAAAAATAAATATTAAAAAAAAATTATCTCTCTCCTCTCTCACTCTCTCTTAAAAAAAAAAAATCCCTTGCCCATTAGGCAATTTGAATCCCCTTTATAACCTAGTTTGGGGTTATATAGCATCACCTCTACCACATTCTGTCAGTCAAGGCAAGTCACAAGCCCTTTCGGATTCAAGGAGAAGGAACTAGCTTTCATTTTGGATGTAGCAATAGAAGGGGCTACATTATCTTGGATGGAATATGTTTGGATTACTTTGCCACAGCCAATCCTCTATTCAGAAAAATTTACATTTCATAAGTATGAAAAATACACTTTCCCCATCCTAAAATTCCCCCAAATCTCCCTCCAACATGGCATAGGCTCAGGCATGGTGTCCAGGATCTAATCATCAGATGCAGAAGAAGATGATTTCCTAGTCCTACATTTTAAGTGTCATTCTTCTTGATCCAAGGCCTTGTGAGCTATTGAGACAAATTGCTTTTCCCACACATATCCAAAATACAAGCAAGAGATCACCACCG